AACAAAAAAGAAAAAATTGTAAGCATCTATAATATTATATAGATTTGTCATAATATACAAAAACAAATATGATGAATAAGATGCATTTTTATTAACACAAGAAGTGGAATACAAAATTTAAATCGACCATTATAACTTTGTTTCAAGAGTTATAGTAAGGATAATGAAATTATTATTGTTATATGAAATTGTCACGAACAATGCATGTATGCATTTACTAGCAGTAAAAACAAAATGAGAAAATGTGAAAAGTGGGGAATGAGACGGTAAAGGAACATGGAGGATAATTTGGACAAATGTTTATTGGAAACAATGGACGGATCATCTCACTCCAACAGTTGTTTTAATGATAAATTAGCATAGCAATCTTGCCATATAGTTAATAAACGCACCTTTTTAGTCCAAACATCATCTAGAATATTTATGTTCCAGCCCGTGCCAATAATCCATCTCACTCATTTTTTTTTATGATTTGTCTACATTAAAACATATTTGCTCAAATGCTTTTTAAACTCCAAAGGGGTTGGTCATTCTTCATATATTTTGAATGAAGTACTTGTGCCCAAAGAGACGAATTTAAGCCAACTTTACCAACAAATAAAAGATAAGTTCTAAATTACTAACCTTGTTTATTTTCATTCAAAGACTACTAAAGATGGCAGAGCCATGCCCACTGGTGCCCCAAAATCTCCACACACACACAGTAAAATCTCTACATATACTAGCGGGGACCCGTGCGATGTACGGGATTTATTAAGCGAAGGCTAAATAATAGAAAGGGTCATTTACTAAAACATCCCTTATAGTTTCACGGATTTACTAAAATCTACTCTATAATTAGCATTTTACTAAAACACCACTTATAATTTGCAATGGATTTAATCAATCTTCTATTAGATGATAGTGGAAAATGACAATGTTGACCCTAATGTTCATTTAAATAAATTTAATTAAAAGAAAATAAAAATAAAAATACTATTTTTGTCTTAATAAGATTCGAACAACCACCCTATTGGTTATATTTGGTCAATTTTTTTATATAAAAAAAGTGTTAAGGGTATTTTTGGAAAAACAAATCATGGGCCTAATGGCCAAAAAAAACACTCCTTAATGAAAGACTAATTAAGTAAAAAAGTTGTAAAATATATGGGATATTTTAGTAAAATGAAAACTATAAGGTTGGTTTAAGTAAATATGTAAAACTATAAGGTGTGTTCTAGTAAATGACCCTAACAGAAACACATAAGAGTATACAATTGTTTTATATTTTCAACTTTTTAAATAATTAATAATTATTCATATTTTATATACTACTTTTAATAAATTTTTTATACTACAAAAATAATAATAATTAATTTCAGTTAGTTTTATTCATCAAACTGATGAAACCGACCAACCAGATCAACTTGACCCGAGTTGGTCGGTTTTCTAGTATTTTAGGTTGACTTCGGTTCCAAAATTTCCCAATTTGACTAAGTTGGATCAGTTTCACTTTGGCCATTTGTAAACCGACAAAAATCGAATGACCTAACCATGGATATATATTAATATTTTATATTTTAAATATAAATTTTAATATGAAAAAGTGAGAAATTTCTCATATTTCTTAGTCTAAAATGTTTTATATTATAAATCTAATTTTTATATTTCTTTTAATAATCGCACTATAGTTTTTAAAATTAAATTTAGTTTTTAAGTTTAAATCTTTTGAACCGACTGACCAAACCAAAGAATTGACCCAAACCGATGCAACTTGAGTGGATCCTTTTTTACAAAAGGTCAGTCGATTTCAGTTAACTAACTCCCCAACCTCACCAGGTCAATTTGGTTGGCCAAACAGCCTATAGGTGAACCGAACCAACTAATGAACCCTTATAATTTCAGTTAAATTAATAGTCTCATCTCTGATAAATAAGAATAGTTTAATCTCCAACAATTATTGAAAATCTATAGTGAAAATACACAATTATTGAAAATATATTGATAATGGAAAAATACAATAATTACAAAAAGACAATAAGTACTAAAAATATATTAACTTAGTCAATAAATAGTATAATCTCAAATGATAGTTTAATCTCAAATAAATATTAATCAATAAGTTATAACAAAAATACAATAAGTACAATAAATTAAATTTAAAAATTTTAATAATAGTAGTTTAATCTCCAATAAATATTGAAAGTTTTCTGTTAAATAATAAAACAAAATAAATTTATAAATAATCATTGAAAATACATTTATCACAAAAAACAATAAATAATTACTAAAATATAATAAATATTAATTTTAGTATATATAATTATACTATAAATATAGATTAAGAGTTTAAAATTATTATTAATAAATACTAATTTTTTTTGAAACTTATTTACTAGAATTATTACTTGATATAAGTGAAATTAGTTATTTACAATATTATGTAAAAATATTAAATTCTTATTAATTTCAATATTATGTAATAATTATTTTTATACTTTTCAGAATTTTTTTGAGTTTATTACATAATTTCTTTATTTTAACTATTTAAGATCTAGTTAAGTTAAATATTTAGTTATTTAAATACTTAAATAATATGTAAAATATTTAAATTTTAAAATATTAATTATTTATTGATATTAATTGTCCATAAAATCATAATTTATACTATTATTATATATTTTCATTATTAATTTTGTAATATACTAAATTATTATTAATTTTCAATATTATGTTATAATTATTTTTCTATTTTTCAGAATTTTTTAAATTTATTACATAATTTCGTTGTTTTAACTATTGAAAATCTAGTTATGATAAATATTTAGTTATTTAAATATTTAAATAATCTCAAAAATATTTAAAATTTTTTATTTGAATTTTATTGATTTAAATCTATTACATATTATTAAATACTAGCGGGGACTAGTGCAATGCACGGGATTTGTTAAGTGAAGCTAAATAATAGAAATTGTCATTTACTAAATCACGCCTTATAGTTTCATGGATTTACTAAAATTTACCCTATAGTATGTATTTTACTAAAACACCACTTATAATTTACTATGCATTTAATCAATCTTCCATTAGATGATAGTGGAAAATGACAGTGTCGACTTTAATGTTCATTTAAATAAATTTTATCAAAAGAAAATAAAAATAAAAATACCATTTTTTGCCCCAAATAAGACATCGGCAACCACTCTATTGGCTATATTTGGTCAATTTTGTTTTATGTACAAAAAGTGATAAGGGTATTTTTGGAATAAAAAATATGTTCCTAATAGCAAAACATTTATAATATGTAAAATATTTATTTATTTTTGTTATTTACTGAATTTAATAATCCATTAAATTATAATTTATACTATTAATTCATAATTTCATTGTTAATTTTGTAAGGTATTAAATTATTATTAATTTCAATATTATGTTATAATTAATTTTCTACTTTTATGAAAATTTTTAAATTTATTACATATTTTCGTTATTTTAACTATTTAAGATCTAGTTATGTTAAATATTTAAATTTTTTTGTTATTTGAATTTTATTTATTTAAAGCTATTACATATTACTAAATATTTCGTTATATAGTTATTTATATATTTATAATATTTGTTTTTTATGATATTTATTTATTGAAATATTTAAATAAGATTTTATTTTTTAATTTTAAGTTTTTATTATTTGAATAAAATTTAAATTGATAATCTGGAAAAATAGAATTTAAATTGTTAGTAGATAATTTCATGATATATTTTGTAAAAATATAAAATTATTTTTATTGTGTTTTTAATAAATATTTTAAAGTTATTATATTATTTTGGTAGAATACTTAAATAATTCTTAAATTTTTTAATCCAAGATTTCTTTATATATGTAGTTGGGGAGGGGATAAATGGGAATTAGAGATAATTTAGGAGAGAAACTCTCTACTAAATCAGAGATAATTTTTGAGATAAATAGGAATTAGAGATAATTTTAAAGTTAGTGGGGGATATTGGGGGAAGTAGTTTAGGAGAAGAGATTATTTAAGTTATTGGTAAAGTGCATCTCATTGGTTGTTCCAAAAATGACATGAAGTAAAAAAAATAAAAAAAAAAAGAGAAAAAGAAGAATTTTTCTTGACCTCTTTGTTTTAATATATAATTTCGCAATTGAATCTTTTTTAACATATGTTCCAATATAAGCCCATTATTGGAACATAGCCTAATGGCACAAATGTCAATTCCAAGGGACATCAGTTGGTTGGATGTTCCAATAATGGACATTACTTTAGGCCTTTAATCCTTTCATCTTGTTAAACCAATAAACGTGTTGGGATCTTGTGCTCATCCTTTACTTTGATTTATCTATTTGGGCATTGCAATAATTGAAACTGTTTATAATGCAACGATTGCAACTCCACTTAGATTTGGAGGTGAACAGCCCCACATGGCATGATGTCTTTGGACTTTATAATATTTTAGGTGAGAGTTTGGATTTTGCAATAATGGAGGTTATTTTAGGCCTTTCCTTTCATCTTCTTAAACCAGTAAACGAGCTGGGGTCTTGTGCTTCTCGTTTACCTTGATTGATCTATTTTCACATTGCAATAATTGAAACTGCTTTGATAATAAGACTAGAAAAGGACCTTGATGTGGCTCATTTCTGAATTTAATGAATGAATTATTGCTAGTTATATGAAATTAAGGCTGTATTTGGTTACAGTGCAAATTTATTTGCACTAGTACAAATACATAGAAGTGCGCAAATGTAAAAAATGCAAATTCTGGTTTAATTTTGTTTTAGTTTTTACTTTATTCTGTTTTATGTCTTAATTTATACTGCAATCAAACAAAATAAACTAAAATTTGAAATAAAAAATTGGTCAGAATTTACACTCAAATCATTTGCACTGCAACCAAACACAGCCTAAAGGGATAACAATCTATTCAACAACCACCACTCATCTCAAGCACAAAAAGAGTAGTATTTTCATTTTGTTGCTTAGGCTTGCAAGGAAAAGAAGGCATCAGTTATGGCAATAGAAGTGATTATATCTCCACTGATTCGGGCGATGCTTGACAAATTGGACTCCAGTGCTATGAGCGATTTTGCATATCAATGGAGCACCGGGAAAGAGTTGAAGGACCTATCTGAAACCCTCCGATTGATTTACAGAATGGCTAGTTCTTTAGAGGATATGCAAGGAAGAGATCCATGCTTGCCGATTTTCCTCGGATATTTAAGAGAAATTGTTTTCAGAGCCACTTCGACATTAGACGAGTTCATCTATGAAGCTCATCGACAGAGTTTGGAGAATGAAAACAAATCATCATGGACTGGTGGAAAGGTACGCCAATTCATCTATTTATCTTCCTTTGGAAACCAAATATTACGTCGACATGAGATTCCGGCATTCATAACTAATATAAAAACTGAGCTGGTTGAGATCAAAGAAAAGACCATATCCACCTATCAGGACTTGATCAGCTCAGATAAATGGAGGCCTGATGAAATGGAAAGGAGGCTTCAAACAATTTCATCACTAGACAAGCGTGTTATGAGTGGCTCCATGATTGATGATAGAGAAGTTTTTGGTAGGCGGGAAGATTCCATCAACATAATAAACATGTTACTTTCTGATCAATATAATAACAAGACAATTACTGTCATTTCCATAGTTGGGATTGGGGGGATCGGCAAAACAACACTTGCTCAACTTATTTATAATGATCAAGAGGTAGTAGGGCATTTTGAAGAAAGAGCATGGGTTTGCGTTTCTGTAGATTTTGATGTTGTAAGAATTACTAGAGCAATTCTTCAATCAATAACCAGGAAAAAGCAGGATATTGAACAACTTGACCCACTTCAACGTGAACTGCAAGATAGGATAAGGGGGAAGAGATTTCTACTTGTACTTGATGATATATGGAGAGATGACCGCAAATCCTGGGATGCCCTAAGGGTTCCATTAAAAGTTGCAAAAGAAGGAAGTAGAATTATAGTAACCACTAGATTTGTGAGAGTTTCCTCTGTCATGGGTGCTATAGAAACTCTTCATTTGGGTGGTTTGCCAGAAGAATCTTGCTGGGAATTGTTTAAATTGAAGGCTTTTAATAATGAAAATGCAGTGGTAGATCCAATCTTAGAAGCAATTGGTAAGAAGATTGTTGAAAAATGTAAACGATTGCCTCTAGCAATAAATACACTTGGAGGACTTTTATGCAATGAATTAGATTTGAACAAGTGGGAATCCATCTTAAAGAGTAATATGTGGGAGCTAGAAGGAGATGATACCTTTCCAGCTCTACTACTAAGTTATCATCACCTTCCAGCACATTTGAAACTGTGCTTTGCATATTGTTCTTTGTTTCCTAAAGGGTATGAATTTGACAAGGAAACGTTAATCCTACTCTGGATGGCCGAAGGTTTTGTTCCATCTAGACAAATTGACATTATGGAAGATCTTGGTAGCAAATATTTTGACGATTTGTTGAATAGGTCATTTTTCCAATATTATGGTGGAAATAAATTTGTGATGCATGATCTCATACATGATTTAGCAGAGATAGCTTCAAAGGAGATGTATTTGAGAGTGGATGAAGGAAAATCAAATACCCTTTCTGAAAAGTCTCGTTATATATCAACAGTTTCTGTCCAAATGAAGTCAGTGGAAAAGGAAATATATAAATGTAAGGAATTGTCCACATTGCTGTCATTAGAGAATTGGGCTCTTGAGAAGGATACTTGGCATATCCCTCCTGACTTGTTCGAACAATTTAGATGCCTACATGTATTGGATTTGAGTGGAAATAGATTGAAAAGTTTACCGGATTCAATTGGAAAATTGAAACATCTACGGTTGCTTAACCTCAACCGAACTGGCATTCAAGTGTTGCCCGAGTCGTTGTGCAACCTCTACAATTTGCAGACTTTGATGCTTAGAGATTGCAACATCAATGAGTTCCCTAAAAGCATAGGAAGCTTAATCAACCTCCAATGCATAGTGATGGGATATTTTATGTGGCATAAGTTCACTGAAAGAGGCATTGGGAGATTATGTTTTCTGAAGACTTTACCTGAGTTTCAGGTGAGAAGGATTATTGGCAATAACAATAGCACAATAGAAAAGATAAAAGAGTTATGTCATCTCCAAGGAAAGGTTTATATCAAGGGGTTAGAGAATGTAGTTGACTTTGAGGAGTCTAAGAAGGCTAACCTCTTCAATAAGCAGAGAATCGATCATTTAGTGTTGGAATGGAACAATATTGATGGTGACAATCAAGGAAATGAAGCACGTATAGAAGCTGTACTTGAGGGCCTACAGCCTTATATGGGGTTGAAGGGTATCAAAATATATGGTTATTCTGGCTTAAGATTCCCAAACTGGATGATGAAGGACCTCTCGTGCTATGATATGTTGACCGTTGTGAATCTATGGAATTGTAACAATTGCAAGCTCCTCCCTCCTTTTGGCAGTCTACCCTCTTTGAAACAATTGTATATATCCGATATGAAGGGAGTGGAATATTTGGGTAAGGAGTTTTATGGAAATAACAGGGGATATCAAAAGTTGGAGATTCTATGGCTCCGGAATATGAAACGTTTGAAGGAATGGTGGGGAGCAGATGATTGCGAATTTCCTTGCCTAAGAGAGCTTTGGATCATTGGTTGTCCCAAATTGATGAAACTCCCCCCTCTCCCTCCCACCGTGAAAAGTGTAATTATTCCCTGGTGATGTATGTATGTATGTTTGTTAGACTTTCGTCCAAAGTTTTCATCAGTTTCGTCAGAATCATCATTAAAATGTGTAGGGATTATAGTTGATAAGGGCAACTTTTGGACCCTAATATTAATAAAAGTAATACTTTTAATAAAATTTCAAAAATAGGTTAATTTTTTTAAAATAATACCAAATAAGGGCAAAAATACTGTTCATCTTCTTTCTCTTGTAGATCATTTATTAGTGCCGCCACCCACCGTCGCTTTCGGCAATCTCTGGCAATGCCTCCACCTACATCCGCCGCCTCCGTCCACCTCCGGCAACGCCTCTGCCCACCTCCGCCTCCGGAGGTTCTTAGAGTGATGCTGCAGAAGCCCCTAGTCAATGACAAGGTCCCAGTATGTACTTCCCGCTGCTGAAATGACAAGGTCCCAGTATTTTAATCTTTTTTTTTTAAGAAATTTGCTGCAATTCCAATTCCCAGATGATATTCAGTTGTAGCTGTGTCGTCCTTTGGTCTAGAACGCGTTTGATGATCTGAGATCTTTCTCCAATTCGTGAAAATATGAAGATACAGTAGTAGTGATAGGCTCAAAATATTGAATCAAAAACCATTTCCGCTGCTGAAATGGCTAATAAAATCCTGGCGGTGAACCATTTCCACCAGATCTGGGATTTTTCTCTAATTTGTGAAGATACGAAGATACAGTAATAGTGATAGGCTCAAAATATTGAATCAGAAACCATTTCTGCTACTGCAATGGTTGATAAAATCCTGGTGGTGAGCCATTCCCGCTGCTGAAATGGAGCAGTGGGATGGGAGGACCTTGTCATTGATTGGGGGATTTTGCAGCGTCACTCTAAGAACCTCCGGAGGCGGAGGCGTTGCCGGAGGTTGTTAGAGGCGGCATGGGCAGCAGCACTGATAAATGATTTGCAAGAGGAAGAAAATGAACAATGTTTTTACCCTTATTTGATATTATTTTTAAAAACTTAACCTATTTTTGAAATTTTATTAAAAGTATTATTTTTATTGATATTAGAGTCCAATTGCCCTCATCAGCTATGATCCCAAATGTAAAAACATTTCATGTGACAGGATATTGAGTTGGATACATCCCTGCCCTCAACAATTATGTGACTCTTGAGCACAAATACTTAAACATTTACTCTCAAACAATATTGCCGCGTGCCGGAGGAGTCGGAAGATATTGTTGGCATCCCTCTCACAATGGAGTAGCGTTTTCCTGGCTAGTAAGTAAAAATTACTCAATTTTGTGGCTTCTTGTTCTTCTTCAACTTGTTCTTCGAAGAGAATTGGTCGGGCAAGTCATGAAACCATGTCCGCAAGTTAGATCTCTAAATTGATTGATAATAATTTTATCTTCATTTTCATTCTCATCTCAGCATTCTCTATGAACTATGATGCAACGCCAACAAAACTAGAAAACCTAAGATCTCCGATTCCACCACGATGGGATCGATGTAGCTGTGAGGTCAGTGTGAGGAGCAGGAGCAGGAGCAGACTCCAATTGCGCCTGGTATCCTTTCTTGGGCAGAAAGAGGCCTGGGGCTAGGAAATTAACAAGAAAACAGAACATGTTGGCCCACCTCAAATCTAAATCCAGGTACACCCCACTTATTGATTACTTCGCTAGCTCTGTGTTTACGGAATTACGGGACTGTTTGATCATTTGAAATTTTAGGCTTAGTTTGATTGCGGTGCAAATTTCATTTGTAATGGTATAAATGCCTGGGACTGCAATTAGATATTGAGTAGATCTGGCAATCGGGTTGGGTAGGTTGGGTTCGGGTTGGGTCGATGCATTTCTGGGTTGATTTCGGGTTAGGTCAAGATTCAGGTCGGGTTGGTGAATGCTAGGCCCTGATCCTAAACATTCAGGTTAGGGTTGACCCACGAGTCAATTTGACTCAACTCTATCAATTATTGAAAATTTAGAAAATGAAACATGAAGAATTGAAGATGTCAAATAAACTATTAAATGAATTAATCTAAAATTCTTATCCTGAAAAGAAAGTTTGCATTCAATTGATCTTTATGAAAGAGAAGATTGATTCTTCCTCCAACAAATTTACCAACAACTACAAAAAACTATAAAATAAAAAAAAAGTCAACAATAAAAGTAAAAATTAAATACCAAAGAATAAAACTAATGTAAATAGATGATCAGTGATTAGATGGCCAAAAGATATATATGCAAATGTTCTAAACTTTCAATAAAAATTAAATAAAAAATCAAAATAACTTTAAGTTCAAACACATTCCATCATTTCTAAATTTGTTCCTCCTAAAACTCTAATGGACTTGAAGCTTCCGATGATGATCCTTCAATAATGCTTAACTTAGAAAAGTGCACCTCTAATCCCGTCATTTCCTTGGTTTCATTATCATCTACATTTAGTCAAAGAAGATAAAACATTAAATCATTAATAATGTAAGAAATATATTTGATTATTAAATAAAAATATATATTATCATCTAAATAAGTTGTAATGTTTGAAACAAATCAAAATAAAAATTTAACTGACCATGATATCCAAATGACCAATTACGAGTAGTGATCAAAGCTTGGGCATTTTCTGGCAAAAGAGAACCTCTCCATTTGGTTAGAACTCTACCTCCCATACTAAAAGATGACTCTGAAGCAACAATAATTATAAGAATACTTAATAAATCCATTGTCATAAGAGATAGATTAGGAAACCGACACTCGTTATCTTTCCACCAAGAAAGAACATTCAATTGTTGCCTGTGATCAAGTGTCTATGTTCATCCAAATATACATCCAACTCTGACTTATTTGAATTTAATTGCTCTTTCTCAAAGTAATTAAATTCCTACATAAAAAAATCAATAGTCATAAGTCTTAAAAATTATAAATATAATGAAATATAGAGGAAATAAATTACATTATACGCACTAAACTTTACAAGAATGTCGTCATTTTATCTAAATCAGTTCTAACATTATTATTCTCTGTTGAACGTGTAATTGATGATGATGCACTAGAGTTCTTGTTTGCATATCATTAAAGATTCTGCACAACTGATTATAAAGATAGGTTGATTTTGCATTTGCAGTTTCCTCATTTAATTTTTTATAATAAAATTTCACAAGTCCCATTTTGTAACGAGGATCAAATATTATAGCAAATGCAAGCACCACACTATGGCAATCCTAATACTTATCAAATTTACTCTTCATTCTTCGTGCCATATCACTTATAAAGAGATCTTGATTCTCCATTTCTTCAAGTAAACACAATTCAATCTTCCAAATACTTTTAAAGTATAAATTTGTTGTTGGGTATTCAATTCCCGAAAAAAGATTTGTGATATCATAAAAAAGCTTCAAAAGATTGTTAATCTTTTCAACCCTTACCACTCTTCATCTGTTGGACACCAAATATAATTTTTGTCTACACTTTGCAAATTAACAAAGGCTCGACGATAGATGAGTGCCCTTTCAAGCATCATATAAGTGGAATTCCATCTTGTTGGACAATCCAACCATAAACCCTTGGAACAAATACAACCCCCATGCTTTACACAATCTTCAAACTTTATCTTCCTTGCCTCCGATCCTATCACATATTTCACTTCCTCCCTTATTTTATATATAGAATCATCAATCACCTTCAAACCTTTTTGTACAATAAGGTTCAAAATATGAGCATCACATCGAATATGAAAAAAATCACTATTAAAAGGCAAAGAAGATTTAAGTTGATCACACAAAATATCTTGCATATTATCATTGCACATTGCATTATCTAAGGTAATTGTGAATATTTTGTGCTAAATTCCCCATTCTTTTAATAAATCATACACTTTTTCCATATAAAGCAAATGCATTGTATGGAGGAGGAACATGACAAAAGTTCAAAATTTTGCTATTCAACTTCCAATTATGATCCACATAATATGCAATGAGACAAAGGTACCCTTGAGTAAATGAAGAAGTCCACATATCACATGTCAAACAAATCCTACTAGGAACATTATTTAAAGCAAGTTTAACTCTTTCTTTCTCTCTCTTATAGATTTTCAAACAATGTGCTTTAGCAGTGTTTCTAGTCAATGTTTTGACATCTTCATTTAGATAACACCAAACATTTCTTGTCCCTTCATGCTCAACATATGAAAATGGATACCCATGTCCTATAATAGATAATGCTATCAATTCTTTATAAACCTCAAGATTAATTTTTCTAGCTAATTTCCCCTCTTTAGATATCATTAATTGAAGAGTCTGCGATGTATACCTTAGAACAATGTTTGCACTTTGCTCTTAATTTTTTATCTTCAAATTTATCTCCTCCAATAATTTCAAATTCTTTCCAAACCTCAAAAGATGTTCGTCATTTTTTTGAAGCATTTGAGGAGTCCTCCACGATATTACAATCATCATCACTATCAACCACGTGCACAGAAGATATGATTTACTCTTGAGAACTAAAATACAAACAAAACAAAGACAATGAGTTAGTAAGCAAATGACATTTTTTTTTATGAGTTTTATTTTTGAATGAATTATTCATTAGCTAAAAAAAGCAACAAAAACATTTTGGATCAATAAAATTTAAAAAGAAGATTAAAGAAAATGTACAAGATTAGGAAAAAATTAAAATTAAAAAAACAAGCAAATCCTATTTTTCATTCCTTAAACCATATTTTTAGAGAAAAATGAAAAAGAATTTTATGAAAATTTGTGTTCATTCATCATTAGGAACATATAACTTAAATCATTAAAACCATTAAAAATAATTAAATAGAAAAGAAAAGATTAATTATACCATTCATCATTCTATGCAAAATAAACCATTAAAAATAATTAAATAATTAAAATCTATTAATAAAAATTAAATACATTAAATAGAAAAAAAGAGTAAGAAAACAAACCTTGAAATTCGTGGTGGTTCGTTGTTCAACAGCAACACCTTTGAAGTTCTTGAAAAAAATAAAGCTTATTCTTTTGGCTAAAACGTAAAAGTGAGAATGGAGAAGACTAAAGACTAGAGAGACTTTTAAAAAACAAGAAAATTAATAAAGGAAAGTAAGACATGGGCGAAACTAAAAACTGGTTTCTTAGTTTCACTCTAATCCGTAGATAGACTCCTAGCCTCCTAGCTAGGCTTATTGTTAGGCTTTTAGCTTAATCCTATTCCTATTTCCTAGTCCTATTGGTAATAAGACTCTTTGTAACTATAATTACAAAAAAGACCCCATCCGAGCTTTAAGTTTTACTTTTACAAACCTTGTTTTAGGCTGACCCAACGGGTCACCCATGACCTACCCGACCCGAACCGGACAGAATCGGGTTGAGTCAGGTTCGGGTCAAGCACACTTTCGAGTCAGGACATGGGGACCCTAACCCTATTTTTTCAGGTGGGTTAGGGTCAGGTTCATAGGTTGGGTCAACTTTTTGTCGGGTTTAATATTGAGTGTAAACTTAAATTCTGATTTACCTTTGTTTTTTATGTGATTTTGTAGAAGTAAAAAATGAAGTAAAATGATGCGATCTCCACCTTATATGAAATATAATAATCGAGGTAGAAGAATATTATTTGTTGGGAAATGAAGCAAGATGATGTCATTCTCACATTTTATGAAAGTGAATTGAGGTAGGAGTAAGCTGATGCAAATTTTATACCGAAAAGCACGGACATGTTCAATACAGATTTCTGATTTCCACTGCAGATTTTTAAACATTCAAAATATCAACAATCCACACTCTATGCATCAACGCCCCCCATGAATTTCTGACCTGGCACCTACCCCAACAGTACTTTGTACCTACAAATTCTGACCTTGGACTGAACTGTCTCCCAATTTTATATCAGCTATATATTACTGTCAATGAAAGACAAAAAATATAAATTTTGCATCACAAAGTACATATCAAAATACAAACACACAAAACTAAACCAGTCACGGCCAACGATTAAAGTATTGAAACATATCGCACGTATCCATGTTCATCGTCATGGGTATGGAATACACCACCAGGTATGTATCCCACAAGTCATGCATATACAATATGATACACTTTCATATCGGGTCATATGGCGCTGTAATACGATCCAATACGCACCAATATAGAAGTGTATTCACGCTTGGTTTGACAAAACTATATATTAACTTCTTTTGGATTGTTTTTCATCTTTAATAAAAAATAAAAAATATATAATTATAGAAACTGAAATAAGTAATTTAAGATTTAATTTTTCCAAAAAAAATTAATAAATACTAAAAATTAGTATATTTTATCTACCTTAAGTGATTTATATATTTTATTTACACATAATTATATGTTAAAAATGAAAACATAGTTACTATTTGAAAAATAGAGTTATTATATAAAAATACTAAATAAATAAATTTTCCCAATAAAATTAATAAAAACTGAAAATTATAAATAATTTATTTTATCTACCTTAAATAATTTATATGTTTTATTCTACAACTATATGTTAAAAATGAAAACATATTTATTATTTATATAAAAATACTAAATTAATAAATATTCCCAAAAAATTAATAAAAATTATAAAAATTGAAAGAGAGTGACAATTATTTATGATGTTTGAATGTCTAAAGTCCCAAC